TTTTTTTTTTTTTTTTTTTTTTTTTTTTTTTTTTTTACAGAAATGACATATATGGATATAGACACAAGTCTGCTACATTTCTTTCCAGGTCCCTGTTTCACTGGTGGTTAGAACAAGCTTTTATGCATGATGGAACTCTTCAGGGGCTTTTTGCCACTAAAGAGAATTGGGTGCAAACCATGGATTCAGTAAAGCTGTAGATTTAACTACCAGCATGTGATCTGTGCATCTAAACTAAATTATTTACTCAAGGATAATCAAACTAAATTTATTACTCAAGGATAACGAACCCTTTTTCAGTGCCTTCTATTAAACTGGATGCTCCTCTTTTTCTCATTCCTTAGCATAAACAGTAAGTAGCGCAAACAACTCAGGAGATGTAAGACCAAGCTGTCACCTGTGTTTCTAATCAACAGTTGCCCAACCTCCTCCTAATCTCTACACCTGCACTCTGTTAAGAGGATAAATTACACCTGGAGCCACACTTTCCCAGTGTTGCCTCACTCCTGAGCCCCTTGGCACTGCCCAGTATTACAAACTAATGGAAGTCAGCTTTTCAGTGCCTTGGCTACATGTTATACTTGGAATGTTATTTTAAAAGAAAAAACATGAAGATTACTGTAGCTGACAGGCAGGCAGATTAAATACTTACATCCACAAGATTATTTAAATTTTAGACCCATACAAATATTTTATAGGAAATAAAATGTTCTTACTACATGTTAAAGTCTGTAAAGAACTTGGAAGGAGATTAGTAAAAGTACCAGATTACTGAAAATCCAACTACCTAGGGACCTACTTGGTTTTTTGTATTTAAATTTTTTTCTTCTTTTTTCCCCCAGGTTGCCAAGCTTTTTGTAGGCGAGCCAGCTGTCTCCGTTCTTGAGAGATGTCAGTGCCTCTCTTTGATAAGCATTTTTGTAAAGAAATAGGGAAATGTTTGTGTGCATCTGTGTGCAGAGGGAACAAGCTAAAAGACATGATTTTAAGGCTTCTACGGTAATTAGAACAGCAGCATACTAATTAAAGCAGATAAATGAAATGAAATGATTAGCAGTCCCTGGTAGGAGGAAAGGTGGATTTTTAATAGAGTAGAAACCTGCGAATGATTATTTATAGCTTATTACTGCAATTAAAAAGTATATTTTATGTTCAGATAGCATTTGTTTCTGTTACATTTCTCAGATTGTCTAACCTCTGTATTATTGTATTCTGGGTACTCTGTAACCCCAGATATGAACATATTTGCACAGGTAGCTCTGTGGAACCCATTTATTCAGTTGCCTTAATTCATATGGAGAATTGTTGTCAGAACTCATAAAAGGTGGTAAAACCTCCTAAGAGAATGGGCCATTGAAAGGTACAAAGGCTCTTCCCCCAACCTTTGCATAGTCTGCATAAAAGCAAGGAAGAAGTGCAGTCCCTGCCTTGCCCTGGACTACTGTCTCAAAGTAGCAGGAATGTCTCCTTATGTACCCTGGTACTCCCCTGGGTCAGTGCAGCTCCTCTGAGGATTAATTATTGTTGCCATAAAAGTCTTTGTGCCATGTGTTCTGGATGTAAAACGATACATATCATTCATATGAATTGCAGTCAGAGCTGGAAACAAGTAAACAAGGCAAATTTGCCAGTGAACTTATGGGGCTTGTGTTTACTTTTAGACAATGTAGAATAGCTTTTATCTATTGATATTTATCCAAGTAAGTTTAGTGAAGAAACTAGTTTCTTTTAAAACAGTATATGTGTAGAAATGTTTAAGCTGAATGACTTAATTCTTTTCCTGTTTTAAATTACATTTGCCCTATTTATGCATCATCTTCAAACAGGTTTGTAGCAGTAGATTATTTGAGCTCGAGTTAGAGGGAGCTCTGCATTTCATGCCTGCTTAGAAACAGAAATATTTTTTAATTTAGATATTTAATGTTGACAGATTCATGGACTTGGACCCCAGGGAGTCTCCTGATAGTGACCTCTCCAGTAGACTGTTAAGTTGTACTCACTATGACCCAGTGAATATTGTAGTTTACTGTGCAAAGTCCAATAGTTTCAACAAAAAGGCTGGTAGTTACTATATAGTAAATGTGCTCGATGGGGTTAGTAGAGTCCTGCAGGAACTATACTGACATCTGTGGGCAGTAACCTAAGTGCAGACATTCAGGGGGAAGGTGGATCAGGGTAAAAATGGTACCCTTATCTAACTTAGTTTACCCAGGTGCAAACCTTACACTTAGACTTAGTCTCAGTGATTGGAAATCAGTCTAAACCCATAACAGTACAGAAGTTCTGTGCACATAGACCAGACCAAAAATGGCAGAACTCAGTCAAAAATAGACCTGGATTAATGTATGCTCAAACTTAATCTAGGTTAGATCAGTGCATGCAACTTCAATTACCTATATAGCCCTGGGGTGGGGAAAGCCTTGCTGCTGGCCCCAGTACCAAAACTATGCTTTTTGTGCCTATCCCCTAGCACTGGGCTATTTTTAGCCCCCCTCCCCACTCACAAGCCACTCTGGGTGTCAGATTTATCAGCGTTTGCCGCTGCTGGGAGCTGAGCAAGTATTGCTGGAGGGAGGGTGGGAGGGAGGGTGGGGTATAGGTTCCTGCAGGTCCTCTCTGTTCCCCTGATCCCTCTGCAAATGCCACCTGTGTTCCCAATCTCCCAATCACTCCCATGAATCCTGCCTCACCCCCTGTCCCCCCACAGATGCTGCCCCTCCTATCCCCCAGTTGCTCCTAAGGACCTTCAGTCCCTCCCCACCACCGCAGCTTGCTTGCCCCCCATCCTTCCACTCCCCACCAGCCCCCACCCTGACCTACCTTAGATTGGGTGGCCATTTTTAACACAATCTAACTTCCAGCATTCCCAAGTGTCTGCACTTTGCTTTTGTGACAGGAGGCTATGAGAGCTTGGGAAGAATCATCATTTTAGAATGAAGACCACACATTTTACCAACACAGAGACTATATATGTAACCAGTGCATGTCAGATATACAACATTATTTATTATTTATATAGTGCCATAGGTGTGATGGCCCTTTGCAAGCAAATAAAAAGACAGTCCTTGCCCCAAGGAGCTTACAGCTTAAATTAGACTGAAAACAACCAGAATGACAGCATACCATAACAGCAGGGATCGGGAGAAGGCAGCAGGCACACTGGGAAGCTTCTATTGCTTTTGGAAGAGGATAGGGATAATGGCTAGCTCCATTTCTCATAAAATGTTTGTAACCGCTACAGTCATGAGACAGAACCCAGCATACCTGGCTTCTTTACAGTGCAACACTATTAAACCAACATTTCTCTCATAGCAAAGTACAACTTTAAATTTGTTTTCAGGAAAGTTGCAAAATTAGATTGTAATTAATATGTTACATTTCCTGTGAACAAAAATTATTAAAAAAAAAAAATATTCCTATTTTATCTCTTCCTGATGGAAAGGCCACATCTCTGGAGGTGCCAGCTGCTGCCTGAATCCTCCAGTGTCACAAATCCATAGCATGTCTGTATTAGCAAGATAATACACGCTTATCTCTTAACTGAACTGAGCAAGGTGGGAAAATGAGTATAGTTTGGCCTAGAGTCACATGATGACTTGGATTGGGATATTTTGCAGCAAAAGTTTGGAATGATCTTTGCCCCCTCTCCTCTGTCCCTGTTGCAGATGCCCCTGTCTGCAGCACTCTTCTCCACTGGGAGCTATGCAAAGCATATGGCCTCTGCCATGGACGTAAAGGAAACGTACAAATGAAGATACACACTCTCACTTAGTTTGGGGAAAGCCACTGCTAATTCTTCATCAAAAACTATGCTGCATATTACTGCACTTGGAGGAAGAGTCCAGATCTGAAATCTTGTTTTATGTCCAAAATGTTGGATACTTTCCAACTATATTTCACCAGCTTTATTGAAAAGAATTTCACAATAACTGGGCACTTAAAAACTTCAGACCATAAGATTTTTAATGATGAGATTTTTAAAAGCACCTAAACGGTTTGAGGCTTGGACACGATATGTTTAAACCTAGATAACCAGTCACTATGGTGGTGGAAACAAGGAGTGGACACCTAAAAGTCCTACTTTGATGAACTGTTTGAATCTGGTTTAAAGTTAAACCACTAAAAATCATCAGTAAAACAGTGTAGGTATCATGCATCCTGAATTATCCTGGGGTAGCTGTCTGCTGTAGACAGATTGCCTATCCCCTCACCAGTTAGTGGTAAGACACTGTACAGTCACCTGCTGAGCAGCTGCCCTAGAATAGCCCAGTCTCTGTCCCTATGTAGCTTCTGCTAGTGCACAAAACCTGTGCAAAGCATCCTGCTGTATGTGTGGTGTGTCCAGACCCAGTGACTCCAGAAACTGGCATATTCTAATGATCTAAGTTGCTTTGGAAAATGGGAGTTGAGTGTTTATGTCATTTAAGTGCTTCTCAAAATGTTACACTGAGTTTTCCCAAGGTGTTTCAAGGACCTCTCTGATACTAATGCTGACATCTTAGTTCACTTCTTCACCTTCCCTGACTGATCTTCCATTTCTCCATTTTCAGCTTCTTAATTCCTCATTTCTCTTCCTTTCCAGATACCATTGTATCTCATGGTTTTATGCTTCATTTACTGAAAAAAGAATGAATGAGCTTAGCAGCACTTACAAACCTTATTCAAGGTTTTATTTTCAAGGCCAGGGAAAGAAAATAACATTCCTAGCTGTACTGTTGCTGCACTTCAACTTAACTTTAGTCTTGCATTTATAATGTAGTTAATAAATACAAATGCAGACTTAAGAAGATTGAAATGAATTGTACAGTGTTCTCTGTTTCAAATATTAATTATTTAACCAAAAATCCAATATAGCAATCTAGCTACCCAAAGGAAGGAGTTTCAAAAGGATTGATCAATTTGCAACGTATCATCCACTCCTGATGGAAAGGTTCCACCCACTGTGAGTTGCTCTGAGGTTTCATTTTCTTCAAAGCACTGCCAAATTCCTCAGAATTATTATGCTGGGTTATTTTCTGTCACAGCCAATATCTGGGATTCTGTTATTGTGCTAGTTAGTTGTTTCGTGAGAAGTTATTTAAGCTGTTTGAATTAGCCTGGATGCAAAAAAGGGCTTCAGCCATCTGACTTTCCTGTGATGGATAGTTTCTGACTCCACTGAGTAAGGAGTTCTGGACCCACAAAACAGAAGAGACACATTTATTTTAACTGAGACCATTTTCTCCTTTTGGATTTGCATGTCTACACCATCACCAGGTGTCAAAGGCAAAATGCCACTTTTGCCACACTGCTGCTTCATGGAAGACAGTAAGTTGGCACTGGAGTAAGTGATAGCAGCGTTTTGCCCCATATGCCAAGTAGTATGAGTTGATCTGTGTTTATAATTAAATGACAGCAGAGTCTAAAACAGTGGATCCAAAGCTGCTCATTCTGAGAAGTGCAGCCCCAAGCTGATGCCATGCAAGACAGTGATTCTTAACTAGCCTTTGGAGGGTGCCACTGGGAGAGAGGAGGTAAGTGTAGGCTGCCATGGGGAGACAGGTGCAGGCTCTTCTCTTCCAACCACTCCTTTGCCCACTCACTGCTGGCTGCTCCTCTTCCTTCTGGGCCCACTTCAAACACATAGGCTAGGGACAGTATAAGTGATCATAAACTGGTTTAAACCTGTAACAGAACTTAAGTTCAGTGCACATAAACCAGTTTCAAAATGGCTGGAACCAGTTTGAGATAAACCTGGTTGAATGCAGTATCAAACTTAACTGATTCAGATCAAACCAGTTTATACAACTTCTGTCCCAGACCCATTGGCAATGCGTAAGGGGTGCATATGGGTACACGTGCACCCCCTGAGATTGGTGGTGTACCCCTGCAAATCTCGGGTGCACCTCCAGGCAGTCACCGCTCACCACACACCGCCATCACTGCCAGCAGCATCTGTGGGTAGTCTCTGATCACCACCGCCAACACTGCCAGCGGCATCTGTGGGTAGTCACCGACTGCTGGTTGGCACTTGCCACCCCCGCCAGCAACAGTGCCATGGCTGCCTGTGGGAGCTCACTGCCCGCCACTGCCACTCTCCTGCCACCAACAGCACTGCTGCCGTCTACGGGAGCTCACCATGCCGCCCCAGCCTCCAGTGGCATGTGGTGTTCATGCCCAGACCCCTTCCTGGTTTAAGTTAAACCAGAGTCTTTCAACATCCCAGCATGCTCTCAGGGCTGTGCTCTCTGCGCCAGCAGTGGGGGTATGCCCAGCCGCGGCAGCAGCCTAAAGTGAACTGGCCAGGAAAGGGGTTTAATCCCCCTCTCTATCCCACAGACCTCAGTCGGGGTCTGCTGGGCGCTCCTCCCTCACTGCCACAGTGGCGGAAGCACCACCAGAGGCTGGCTAGCATGCCCCCCTTATGTGGGGAGGGGCAAGTAGGGGGTTATTCCCCGCTCTGCAGGGGACTGCAATGGGATCTGCCCACCCCAACTGCCACCACTGCTCACTCCCTGCACGGGAGTTGCAGCACCGGGGCTCTGCTGTCATTTAATTATAAACACAGGTCAACTCACAGTTTTTACACCATAATGGATCAATGGTCCTTTGAGGCACAGGACCTGGATTCAAACAACATGACTCAGGCTTGCCCTAAATTCTGGCTCTTGGGCACTACACAAAAGAAATCAGCTCTTGTTTTAGAAGCTTGAAGCTTCCGGTTCTGGCTTTTATCAGCATTTCTGAATAATTGATCTTTGGGGTATTTATTATAGAAGCATAGAAAATTAGGGTTGGAAGGGACTTCAGGAGGTCATCTAGTCCAGCCCCCAGAGAGGGAACCCTGCCTCTTTTAATGTAGTCCAAGCGAAGAGGTCAGCTGCAAGTAGCTGATTTCCTGTTGTCTTCTCAAGTCCAGGCTCATTTTTAGCAGCAGCAGAAAGGAGATTTGCTAAGTTTTAAACCAAAGAAAAGAAAAGCAAGCTCACTGAGATGCATGGAGCCAGGGATTCCACCTTAGTGCAGACATCACACTCAAATGAACGCGTAAGAATATAAAATTGTATATAGTCTCGTTTTTCTTTACTCCTCGAGGAAGAGAAGGCAAGATGCATGCTTTGTCTAGACAGTTGCCAAAACACCCACAGACTATTCATGTGACTACAATATGTTTTGTATTCTCTTTTCTCCCTAAACTAATCACTACTTTTTAAGAAGGTCCCTAGAGTTTCTTTTGTTCTTTCCATGTGGTTTCTGGCCCAAAAGGGAAATGGCCCAAAGGTCCAGAATTTACCCCCTAGATTAGCCTGCATTGCTATTTCCTAGATTCAGATAAAGGCTCTTCGGTGGGAATATGGATTACATCCCACAAGAGTCAAAGATAAAAGGACTGACTATGTCATAATGAATAAAGTATGGCAAAGAACAAATGCATGAACAACTGAATAGCCCTTCATGATTGCTTTTAAGATTTTAAATGAAGTGCACACAGTCATCTACACATCATCTGCCTCTGTATGTGAATACAGCTCACTTAGTTTCTCAAACTTGGGTCCCCACTCCTTGATGTCATCATACACTGCGTCCTCATCCAGTCCAGAGGAACCCAGGGTACTGAGACTGCTGGCAACTGAGCCCTCTCCCTCTGTGTAATATACCTGTAGGGAATCGCAAGGCAAAGCCTGGGGCTGCTGGTCAGCATCTCTAACGACATCCAATAGATAACGACCAAAGTCTTCACTGGCAAAGGAGGAGCTCTGTGTAGTTGCAGGTGCTTCTGGCTGCTCTTTTGGGCTGGGTGACACATCACTGCTCAACGGGCTTTTCAGCTCTGTCATCTTCCCTTTCTTCTTATAGAAAGAATAGGCTGGGCTGGTTTGAATAGACATCTGGAGTTCTGCCATGTTGTAAGCATCCTGAAGTGAGAAATCGCTCTTGTTAAATGAGAATTCACTGCAGCTCCAAACTTTCCATGCTTTAATGGACTAAGCAGTTTTTGCTCATGAGAAAAACATTCCCAAATAGTCTACTTGACCTTAACACCAAACTAAAGTATTGGCCCATTAATGCATCTGTGCCACCTGGGGCCAGCTCTAGGAAAGCCCAAGAGCACCAAGCATGGCAAAGGCTGATGACAGCAAGTGCAACAGTGCCCTTATGCATGTCACAGCCACGGTCTGTGGTTTTAAAATTGATAAACAAGGGTGTCATTTTTCTGTGTTATTGAATATAGTGAAATCTTTATGGAAGGGAAACAAAAACTGTCTGCCTTGGTTTGAAACATGGTCTGCAACCCTTTTTCCTTCACTATTGCCTACAGCATGAGACATGAATAGGCAGCTTAAAACAAGGCTGAAATTTTCCGTTAGAAGCCAAATAAGGCTGATTAAAATGTTTCCAATTTCTGTTTTCAGATTCAGATTAGAAAGTCTGCTGGCCTCTCAACAAGCACTGCTAAACACAGCAACAAGGCTGGGACAGGCTACTTCAGAAACAGTAATGTGGCTGGAAGTAATGGCTTTAAGCCAGTGGTGCTCAACCTTTTTCCTCAACAGGCCAAATGGGCAGTGCTTGGTTCAACCTAAAAGCTAAAAAGGAGGCGTACACGCAATGGAAGGAAGGGGCCATCACCAAGGAGGATTATACCTCCATTGCTCAAGATTGTAGGGGCGCTGTCAGGAAGGCCAAGGCAGAGACAGAACTAGGATCAGCAATCCAGATTAAAGATAAATCCTTTTTTTAAATGCATATGGGGTAAAAAGAAGGTACTGGGTAATGTGGGGTCCCTGCAGGACACACTTGGAGATCTGGTGGTCGTACCAGACAACAAAGCTAACCCCTTTAACCAGTTCTTTGCCTCCATTTTTCTGAGCAGGGACTGGATCACGCCCCCCACCGGGATCCCTGATGGACCCAGGTGAGGCACAGCCAGGCCCAGGGTCAGTGAGGACCTAGTCAGGGAACTTCTGGTGGGAATGGACATGTCCAAATCAGCAGGTCCTCATGATCTCCACCCCAGAGTGCTGAAGGAATTGACAGATGTCATTGTGGGACCCCGGCACAGCTTTACGAGCCCTCGTGGTGCTCTGGCAAGGTGCCAGAGGACTGGAAAAGGGCCAATGTGGTCCCCATTTTCAAAAGGAGGAAGGAGGCCCCAGGAAACTACAGGCCCGTTAGTCTTACCTCAGCCCTGAGAAAATTATCCAGGAGCACATCTGCGAGGGGCAAGCAGGGGAGATCATGCTTAGGGGCAACCAACACGGGTTCATTAAGGGCAGGTCCTGTCAGACCAACCTGGTGGCTTTCTATGACCAGGTCACAAAATCCTTGGATGCAGGCACCATGGTGGATGTAGTCTTTCTGGACTTTGGAAAA